GTCCGTGCAGCCGCCCGGGGGGCCTCTTACGGTGCAGCAGGAAATTAGAGCCGAAACCACCACGCCGGCTGGGCCGCCTGTGTGCGCACCGGGAGTCCCAGCGCCAGGCCGGGCGATGCACAAAAGCAGTGACGGCGAACCTTTGAGCTCGGCGTGTCAGCGTTTTGAAAAACCCTAACTTAACTCTGGTGCCGTGTCACATACAGAAATTTTTTGATCTTTGCAACCATAGTAAAACAAAGACTTATATTTTTGATATTTATTTTATATATTTAAATGCCATTTAACAAAGAAAAATCAACCAAAAAAATGAGTTCGCGTGTCACCTCTGACACGCGTGTCACAGGTTCGCCATCACTGAACGAAAGGAAACCCAGGCGTGCGGGTGGCCAGTGCGGGCGCCAGGCCGCGGTCCAGGGCGGGGCCAGGAGCTCCCACTGCAGCTACACGTCCCGTCTGTAAGCGGAGTGGGGCGGGGGGGACATGCTGCTATTTTATACTTGACAACCTGGCTGAAAGCAGTTAGTGAGGGGGAGCATGACTTTTGCAGTCAGATAGAACTGGGTGTTTATTGATTTTTTCATTTTCCATTGATTTTTAAAAATATGTTTTTATTGATTTCAGAGAGGGAGAGGGGGAGAGAGAGAGAAACATCAGTGATGAGAGAGAACCATGGATCGGCCGCCTCCTGCACGCCTCACACTGGGGATCGAGCCCACAACCCGGGCCTGTGCCTTGACCGTGACCTCCTGGTTCATAGGTCGACGCTCAACCACTGAGCCACGCCGGCCGGGGTATTGTCCATTGATTTCCAGAAAGAGTGGAAGGGAGGGAAGAGGGGGAGAGAGAGAGAAACATCGATGAAAGAGAAACACACCGATTGGCTACCTCCCGAAAGTGCCCCTACAGGGACTGGGGAACCTGCAACCCAGGTACATGCCTTTGACAGGGAATCAAACCTGAGACCCCCTGGTCCACAGGCGGACGCTCTAACCACTGAGCTACGGCCAGGGTTTAAGCCAGTGGTTCTCAACCTTCCTAATGCCGTGACCCTTTCATACAGTTCCTCATGTTGTGGTGACCCCCAACCCTAAAATTATTTTTGTTGCTACTTCATCACTGTAATTTTGCTACTGTTATGAATCGTCATGTAAATATCTGATATGCAGGATGCATTTTCATTGTTACAAATTGAACATAATGAAAGCATAGTGATTAATCACAAAAACAATATGTAATTATATATGTGTTTTCCGATGGTCTTAGGCGACCCCTGTGAAAGGGTCGTTTGACCCCCCGAAGGGTCGTGACCCACAGGTTGAGAACCGCTGGTTTAAGTTCCCTCCTGCCCCTTACTAGACCTGGGCAAGGGCTGAACCTCTGTTCCGAGGGGCGGCGTAGGCTCCCTGATCAGCCATCCGTAAAGGACGCTGCGTGAGGTGCCCCGGACGCCCCGACACTCCCTCCCTGGCCCTCCCTGCCTCCGTGTGCCCGGCCCACAGGGGGAGCAGGTTGCTCGTGTCCCCTGGGCCGCGACCCTTGCCCTCACTGAAGGACGGCCTCCCTCCTTAGGCCAGGAGCCCGGGGCAGGCAGGCGGAGCGAGCGAGCGCAGGAAACACCTGCTCCTACGGGTTTCCTGCTGGGAGTAGGGGGAGGGGTGACCCCGGGGAAGGTGGTGTAGCCCCGCCCATCTCTTCCCCAATCTCTTGCTGCCTCTCAGCTGAGGGGCGGAGGGGGCAGTGGGAGGGTGGGCATAGCTCTGAGAAGTAACACAAAGAGCTTCGTTGGCCCTGGCTGGTGTGGCTCAGTGGGTAGAGCGTCGACCTGTGGACTGAAGGGTCCCGGGTACGATTCCGGTCAAGGGCACATGCCTGGGTTGTGGGCTCCATCCCCAGTGAGGGGCGTGTGGGAGGCAGCCGGTCCAGGATTCTCTCTCATCATGGATGTTTCTCTCTCCCTCTCCCTCTCCCTTCCTCTCTGAAATCAATAAAAACACATATAAAAAACAAAGAGATCTTCTTTGAAGGACTTTAGGAAGGTGACGAGGGAGGGAGGAGCCTGGTTCCCCACGCGGAGGGAGGGGTCAGCTGTGTGTGGAGAGGGAGCAGCTGGGGTAAAGCACCCCCACAGGGACCGCCCCCCCACAGGGATCCCGGTCTCGGGGCTGCACGTGGGCATCTGAACTCTGGTGTGACCAGGCAACCTGTCCCTCAGAGGCTGAGAGCCTGGGGAGGCCCCCCGGGCAGGCAGGGTGTCTGTCTGTCTACACACATGCACACAGTCTCGCACACACACGGCACACGCCTGTACGTGTGCGCCAGGCCACCGTGGAACGGGAGAGGAACTCAGACGCCATTCTCGTCGGACAGGCTTAAAACACAACCGGCTCAACGTTTATTTTATCTCAGAAAAAGACATTCCCTTCGGAGGGAAAGGCAGTGCGGGCCTCCACTGGGCCGGTGGAGCCTCCCCGGCTCCCCCACGCAGGCCAGAAAAACTTCGTCACCCCAGGAGATGGCTCTGGGCCATCGGGGGGAGAGGGCCGCTCGGGGCTCCCCGGGGCCGACTCCTGGTGCCAGGTGAGCAGCAGGACTGACGACAGGGAGGGACAATAATAAAATAAACGGGGTATCTTCACGCTTAAAATTTCCTCCTGGAAAACAGAGTCAAACACCACTTCCAGGCACAGCAGCTCCCAAACCCTCGGAGAGTCCGGGGAGGGTGGGGGGCAGGCAGGGGCCCCTCGGAGCCACGCCCCAGCCTCCGGGACAGCGGCCTGCTCTGCAGAGACGAGGTGGCCCTTCTAGATGCTTCCGGAGTGGGAACCGGACCCAAGACGCTCCGGTGCTGCGCTCCTGGCCGGCACAGGGTCTCCCCGCATGACACGCCCGC